CCCTTTTCCCTACCTTATCTATAACTTATTTTTGCTACATTAGCACCATAGCTTATCTTAAATGGCGTATGTTCCTAAAGGCTTGCTTCTGGCTCGTCAGATATAGGGGAAGGGAGGAATGCATGTCATGCCACCCCTATATTTGACACATATAAAGTTCTTCTGCAATTAACCCCTACACTAGTGAAACTAACTATAGAGTAGACCACCAGCTTTGGGTGTTGTTTGCCCTCTTTCTTGCAGCCTGCCCTGATTGTTGCATTTTCAGTGTGATCCATTCCAGGTATCTGTCACAAACATCATTTTAATAATATTATTAGGCTTTCTTGCTTAGACTTATTAAGTCTGTTTTTCTTCCTTACTATTTCCCAGCCACACTTTTTACAGATAGTTATGACATCTTATGATTTTTTCCCCATATTTTCTACATCTATTGAGATCTGGGAATCAGAGTGTGCTATGGTGCCAAAGAGAGGGTACATCTGAACCTTAGTCTCAAATAATTATGGGCAATAACTAAGAAGAAAATAAGGGTAATAGTGAGGTCATAGGGCTATAATCAAGGAACCAGTGGGACATCAAGGACTGGACACTGGACAGCACCCATTGTTCACCGAATGTATCTAGGAATCAGGGGACTCTGCCCAGAAGATCTCTGTCTGAACATGTGATTGGATGGAAGAATATAAATAGATCCCATAGTCACAGAACTCTTCCTCCTCAATCCTCCAGTTTCCTCCTGGATTTATAATTGCCACTTTGGCTAGCTCCAGTAGGAGGTCCTGCAATTTCATGGGGCCATGGACAGGGTGTTCACAAATCAGAAGGTTCAAGAAAAGGTGCAGCAATGAACTTCAGAAAGGTTCTTGAGAAGCCAGAAAAGGGGCTGCAATCAGGCACACTTGAAATAAATATGTGCCAGAGTATGACTCACAATGCAAAAAAGGGCAAATTTCAGGAATAGGGCTCAACTGTGTTATGTACATGCTTATGTTCACTCTTCTAGGAAGAAGTCACCAGTTGAAATATAAGCCTCCATGGATGGCAGAAGGTCCTGCCACTTATTATCCAAGTGGGACACAAGCACTTGAGCGACCACCCAGTAGAAATTCAAATACCACCCAGCTGACTAGTGAAGCACCCTCAGCACCCATGTATTTCTACTGGTGGTACACATCCATCCACACATACCTTAGTTCACATCATAAAAATAATTCCACACATGGGCTACGTCTACACTGGCACCCTTTTCCGGAAATGCTTAAAACGGAACAGTTTTCTGTTATAAGTATTTACGGAAAAAGCGCGTCTTCATTGGCAGGATGCTTTTCCGGAAAAGCACTTTTTCCGGAAAAGCGTCCGTGCCAATGTAGACGTGTTTTTCCGCAAAAAAGCCCCAATCGTCATTTTCGCGATCGGGGCTTTTTTGCGGAAAACACGACTATGCTGTCTACACTGGCCCTTTTGCACAAAAGTCTTTCAGAAAAAAACTTTTGCCTGAACGGGAGCTGCATAGTATTTCCGGAAAAGCACTGATGATTTTACAGTAGATAGTCAGTGCTTTTCCGGAAATTCAAGGGGCCAGTGTAGACAGCTGGCAAGTTATTCCGGAAAAGCGGCTGATTTTCTGAAATAAGTGGCCAGTGTAGACATAGCCATGGTGGAAAAAATAGAGGGAACATTGAACACAGGCCCAGAAAATGAAAAATATGAAGCTTGGGTGTTTATAGATATTTCCTTGGCATAGTTTGGAAATAAGCCAACTAAATAAATAAAGTATCTAAAGGGTGTCACAAGAAGGAGGGAGACAAATTATTCTTCTTGCTTTGAGGATAGGACAAGAAACAACGGGCTTAAACTGCAGCAAGGGAGGTTTAGGTTGGATATTAGGAAAAATTCCTAACTGTCAAAGTGGTTAAACACTGGAATAAATTGCCAAGGGAGGCTGTAGAATCTCCATCTCTGGAGATATTTAAGAGCAGGTTAGATAGACATCTATCAGGGATGTTCAAGATGGTACTGGGACCTGCCATGAAGGCAAGAGATTGGACTCGATGACCTCTCAAGGTCCCTTCCAGTTCTAGTATTGTGTGATTCTATGATTCCATTATTTCGTGTAACAAGCTGCAGATCATGCAGCTGGTTCAGGTTGCCATGGTGGAAAGCTGGGGGACTGGCAGACCAGGGATAAAGATCAGCAGGGTTTACCCTCTTGCAGGATCTGCCCCAGGAAGCCTGAGGGGCTGACAGTAATGCTGCCCTCACCTCCTGTAGTACACAATGCAAGATCCTCCATGCACTGGCTTAAGGAAAAGGGATGCACCCTGTTCACCCAGTCATAGTTTAGGAGATCTCTGATCCTCATGCTTTCATGCCAGATTCAGCCTCTGGTGCACCTCTGGGGTTCATGATTTCTACAAAAAACGTAAAAAACAATGAATGGTCTTAGAGACGAACAAAAAATCTAAATGTTACCATAAGCTTCCATGGGTACAACCCACTTCTTCAGATGAATGGAGTTACGAGGTCCAGGGTACGAAAAAATAACAGAAAAGAGAGGGGATGGGGAGGGAAAAGAGAAGGTAAAAAATATTGTCAATTAGGCTATGTCTAGACTACATTCCTCTTTTGAAAGAAAGATGTAAATTAGGCAGATTGAACGTGCAAATGAAACATGGATTTAAATATCCCATGCTTCATTTGCATATTCACATCCGATCGCTGTTTCGAAAAAGGGATTTTGAAAGTGAAACTGCATTCTAGATGCAGTTCTTTTAAAAAAAACACTTTTTTGAAAGTGTAGGATGAAAATTTCTGAGGCAGGCTATGATATTCTGTTAAGATCCCAATCTAAATTCAGACTCTGGGAATGGCGCATAAACACAATACATGGTTATTCTCCTTCCCAACCAGTCTAGCCCATCAAAGAAAAGCTATCACCCAGGATAGGAGGCAGGACAAGACACGTTCAATGGTGCTAATGTCTCTGCTTTAATCCCCAGATGGACCACATCCTGCAGAGAAACCTTCTTGAAGCTGACAGACATATCACCACTTAACTGCTAATTGATCACTGATGTCTGCTTTGTTTAAATACTTGTTTTACTGGAAACACTATGTAACTTTATATTATTGATCTTATCCTGCCTTACTATTAGCATCTATCCAGGGGATCCGGGATCTTCCCCTCTCCCATCACTTTGATCTGCCCATTGAGCATCCTATATAACCAGTTGTAACCTATTGTTTGGCAGTGTTCACTGAGCTTAGCGAGTGACACTCCACCCAGCGCTGTGTGTGTAATAAACTCTCCTGCTTGCTTCACATACGGTGTCCAGATTCTGTTCCTTCAGAAAGATTCCATACTCCTCGTTTTTTCAGGAGTACGGGATCGTTTGAAAAAGTGTGGGGGGGGAGGATGTTTGAAAAAACTGCATCTAGTCTGTGGTTTCACTTTCAAAATACCCTTTTTCAAAACAGTGATCGGATGAGAATATGCAAATGAAGCATGGGATATTTAAATCCGCACTTCATTTGCACTTTCGATCTACCTAAGTTACATCCCTCTTTTAAAAGAGGGATGTAGTCTAGATGAGTCCTTAGAGTGTCTATGCTAACCTAGGCTAACAAAGTCGGCTCTAAGTATGCAGTCCTTAGCTTTTCATGTCATTAGGGTGCAGAATGTAGCACACATTTTCCCCTCTGAGACTGATAAATTCTATGGTTGAACTCACAATTTGAGTAAGTTTGAAGGTGGAATATTCACAATATGCTCATCATGAATACAGGCAGGGAACAGAAGGAAGCAAGCACAAAGTAATCTGCAAGTACAGTGACGGCATTCTACAACTACCGCTATAGAAAGAAGTGACATCTGAAATCATAGAAGTAGACTCTCCATTGCACAAAATACAAAGCTTTACAGGGGAAAAAGTATTTTCTCATGGTGTGACAAATAGTGAAAGATCCTTTGCCCCTGAATGATGATGACAGCCTAGATATCACCCTCGGGAATAAACAGGAGTAAAAAAAATGCAAATAGCTGAAGAGTGAATGACATATTGTCACCCAATCTGAAGCATATAATATGCAAGCACTAAAAATGCCATTCATTTTCAAATTGCTATTGATACAGTGTGTTTACAGCATGTATGTTTGTGAGTATTTCTAATGTACTAAACCTTAAAATACTTCCTACATTAATGGAATGGTATTTTAACTAAAATCTGAGTTTATTTATGGTACATGTAGCTACAAAAGCTAAAAAGAATTATCTACAATAGCACTCTAACTGTGTGAAGATAACTTTGGTCCCTTAGAAGAAACAGGGATATTGAAAACTGTATTTCTTTCTTTCTTTCTTTCTTTCTTTCTTTCTTTCTTTCTTTCTTTCTTTCTTTCTTTCTTTCTTTCTTTCTTTCTTTCTTGCTGAAATTTATTGGCAACAAAAGCCAATTTAAAAAGTGCTCTTGAAAAACCTTGGGCTGTGTCTAGACTGGCCAATTTTTCCGGAAAATCAGCTGCTTTTCCGGAAAAACTTGCCAGCTGTCTACATTGGCCGCTTGAATTTCCGCAAAAGCACTGACTTCCTACTATAAGAAATCAGCGCTTCTTGCAAAAATACTATGCTGCTCCCATTCAGGCAAAAGTCCTTTGCGCAAAACTTTTGCACAAAAGGGCCAGTGTAGACAGCTCAGATTTGTTTTCCGCAAAAAAGCCCCGATCGCGAAAATGGTGATTGGGACTTTTTTGTGGAAAAGCGCGTCTAGATTGGCACGGATTCTTTCCCGCAAAAAGTGCTTTTGCCGAAAAGTTTCCATGCCAATCTAGATGCTCTTTTCCAAAAAGGCTTTTCCATTAAAAGTATTTCAAGAAAATCATGCCAGTCTAGACGTAGCCTTGGAGTAAATGTGAAACTAATGTAGTGAAGCACCTTTTAGGATGTTGACTGGGTTCATCTACATTGTACCATTATTTCCAGATAACTAGTGTTATTTTGAAATAACAATGCGAGCATCTACACAGACATTCTGTTATTTCAAAATTATTTTGAAACAATGGAAAGCTTATTCTGAAATCTGTAATCTTCATTCTATGAGGAATAATACCTATTCCAAAATAGCTATTTTAAAATAAGGCATGTGTACATGCTCTACTGGGCTGTTCTCAGACTACATCTAGACTGCAGGCTTCTTTCGGAAGAACCTTTTTTCAGAAGAGGTGTTCCAAAAAAACTTCTTCTGAAAGAGAGTGTCCACGCTGCAAAAGTGCATTGAAAAAGCAATCTGCTTTTTTGAAAGAAAGCATGCAGACTGTATGGATGCTCTGTCACATGTAAGCTGTGATTGCTATGGACAGAATGGCCATTTGGGCACCTGTGCTTTTTCCTCTTTCCTCTTCTTCAGAAAGAACTCCCTCTTCCCCAACTACACACACCTTTTTCCAAAAGAGCTCTTTTCAAAAAAAGGCTTCTTCCTCATAGAATGAAGATTGCCAATGCCAGAAAAATCACTCTGTTCTTCAAATTTTCTTGCTGAACAATGCAATTGAAGTGTGGATGTTCCTCAAGTTTTATTGGAAAAACAGCTGTTTTTCCAACAAAACTCTGTAGTGTAGACATACCCTCAATTATTCCTCCCCAGTGCCTCCTGGGGCTCTAAATCGAGATAGCACATCTACATTAGGGAAGCCTGCCTCGGACTAATTTTGAGATTTCCCTGCAGTATGGATGAGCTATTTCAAAATAAGCTATTTCAGAATAGCTTATTTTGAAATAGCCGTGCAGTGTAGATGTATCCTAAGTCAAAAATTCACAAACAAATGGATTTCATGGAATGGCCTGTATTCAAAGATGACTCTGTGAATTTGCTCCTGTTTTCACAGAGCAAATGCATCTTTAATATATTCCGTGTTTATGAACTGAACCTCAACATGGCCCAAAGCATCCTGGAAATTAAAGATGATAAGAGTTTCACCTCTTTGTGCAGAGTGATAATGACAAACCTTTTATGAGTCCTTGGAGCACAACTCCCATTGAAAGTTTATTGACCAAAACCTGGTGAATGAATACTGTTAAAACAACAACTAATCCTAATCCTCATTTGAAAATTTGAAAAAAAGTTCAATTTACCTTCTTCTTCCTCCCCTGTTATTTTTCATTTCAAGTATTTTTGTTCATTGTGACTCCAGACAAGACCAGTCTGGTGATTACAATGCTCATTAGTGAAACCTACCTTTCTAACAAACTGCTTGCCTGTTTCTTTTTTCTGCTGCCATCGTGCCCATTGACTTCCAATTATTTAGATTCTCAGTTATCCTCAATCTGGATGTTTCTCTAATGTTTTGGAAAATCAGAAATCTGCCAAACTATAAATGAGGGCAAAAAAATGTGAGGGAAAGCTTCCAATGATAGTGCAGACATTGGAAACCAAGTGTGTGTGTGCAGGGGTAGCGGTGGTGTAATGAATCACCAGCAGACAGTATCTACTATGGTGCAGCAGGGATATCCAGAGGGATTGAGTGATTTGGTTGCAATGAGGAGGCTATTGATAACAGAAGATTCCCATACTGTGTTTCCATGCAGTGATGGACTATGGTGTAATAGTGCCATTTAGTTATTGCTCAAGTGAAGGTAGGGCTGCTCGGAAGTATATACTCTATGAATTTATTTGGTGCAACAAAAACAGTATGAGAAGCAGTATAATATATAGCAATCATCTTGCATTCATTGTTTTAAGTTCCACCTGGCTAGAATTGGCAGACACTGTTGTTCTTTAGGCATTTCTCATCATTTCGCATCCACATATTTGTCTGTTCTCTTGTACACATTGACTTGAACTACTCAGTGCTCTACTTTTGAAAATTAACCATTTATTTTGGATCCTAACTGTAGGTTCCTGCTTTTTTGAAAAATCTTGGATTTTGCCAATTAGTAATGATTCAAGATTCACATATGGTAAAGTTCTTTGAATTGCACAGATTTAAATTTGAATGGACATCAGAAAAATTATTCCAGATTTATGAGGGCACAAAGAAGCAGAATTTTGCTCTTCGCATTCTGTGCATTGCAAAATGAATGCAGCATGGTTTTATGGATCTCAAGTCTTCTTCCATTTATGATGTTCTTACATGAGTGCAATGTCATTGGCAATAACAGATACTGTTAGAGGGCTTTTCCCTTCACTCCCACCCCTCGTTCTTATCACACAGGCAGAGAGCCAACCAGAAGTCTGACATCCAGACAATGTGATATTTATTGGGGTTAGGCTCCAGCAAACATGTATTCCATGACTGTGATACCACAGAGCCATTTCTCAGTGTTCCATTCCCCCTCATCAGGAGGCATAATTGAACTTTAAATGCCCTCAGGCCTGCCTAGTACATTTTAGGACCATTTTCTCTTTTGGAGGGCCATGGGACTAGGGGTCATCATGCCCACTCCTTTTTTATCCCCTGGAAAAGGTAAGGAGTGAGGATATGGTCAGACACACTCTGACTCTGCGGGGGGATGGGGGGGAGAAGGTAAATGTCTGTGAGCTAATGGTATTAGAGGTGATAATTAGGGAAGCTATCTTTGTAATGGGTAAGATAGCTAGAGTCTTTGTTGAGCCCCCCGCGTAGAGTGTCCCCCTGCATCCACCTTCTGTTCTGAAATGTGATTTGTCCTTTTCATATGTGTTCATTTATTTTATTTGTATCCTTTGGTATATATGGTTGTGACTATTTTCTTCCACTATTTGATCTGAGGAAGTGGGTCTGGCCCACGAAAGCTCATCATCTAATAAACCATCTTGTTAGTCTTTAAAGTGCTATACAGTCCTGTATTTTGTTTCAGCTACACCAGACTAACATGGCTACATTTCTATCACTGATCTAATGTAATATTGTCAGTGTTCTTGCGCAAGTACTATGCTGCTCCCACTCAGGAAAAAAGCCCTCTTGCGCAAATGCTTTTGCGCAAGAGGGCCAGTGTAGACAGCTAAAAACTGTTTTGCGCAAAAAAGCCCTGATGGCAAAAATGGCGTTTGGGGCTTTCTTGTGCAAAACCACATCTAGATTTTTGCAGAAAATAGTGTCTACTTTGGCCACGGACGCTTTTCCGCAAAAAGTGCTTTTGCGGAAAAGCGTCCATGCCAATCTAGACGCTCTTTTCTGCAAATGCTTTTAACGGAAAAACTTTTCCGTTAAAAGCATTTGCGGAAAATCATGCCAGTCTAGACGTAGCCTTGTAGTGTAGATATAGCCTTAGTGTTCCCCTCTCATCTCTCTTTGTCCTTCCTGACTGGTTACCTGA